AAAAAAAAAAAAAAAAGACCAAACAATTTGAGAGCATTAGTTAATTGTACATTCTTTAGTTTCTCTAAGACAATAGACGGGGCAAGTGCACGGATAGCCATTTCTAGGGATGCTATTTAGAGATTAGCCACCACTTATTTTTGTCTTGAAATTTTAAACTAAAAATCTTAACTTCAGAACAACTCAGAAAATTCTTGTCCTGAAAAGGTGAACTGAAAAACTGAAATTCAGGACGCACTGACTAATTCCTAATAGCAGCCCTTTAGAGTGGATACCTGGTGTTATTTCTACACAAAAAACGCTACAAATGATATAACACTGCTTACTGTAGTATTTGAGGGTGATGTATTGTTGCACAATGGCGCGTAAATGTTGTATAGAAAGATATTTCCAATTTCTTTGTCGATTTGGTCCAAGTGGTGTTTGCATTTCTTGGATGCAGAAGATGGAGTAGAAAAATTACAACTTGATGTGATTTTGTAGTATAATTCATCTGATATTAGTGCATGAGACCAGTAATACTCTGTTGTTCCTTTCATGTTGGCTTCAAAGTCAACATAGGCATTGCCAATCTGAGACATGAATTTCATTAAACAATAATAATGGTCTAATTAGAGGTAAAAATGAGCTGCTAGAGATGTTACTCAGATTAAAAAAAAACTTACAGTGATTCCTTTTAAATTGATAATAGTGTGATTTGTGTAATTGTTGTGCAGAAGTATAAGCTGAGCGAGTTGAGGTACATAATGCCCGGCGTAGCTCTCTCCAGTAAGGTAAAAGTCCCTTGTTTTGTATTCTGGAAATCGTTCGAGCCAATTCACTAGAAAGGTGTAAGAATCAATAGCTGTTGTTCTGTCTCCACTAGAATTGTAGTCCGTGCTTGTGTTTGTATATGAAAATCCAACACCAGCAGGCGATTCGAGAAAGATTATGTTGGCCTCTGATAAAGAAAATGTCAAAACTCATTAGTGTATATTCTTAATGTCCTTTACTTAGGGTTGATAATAGTACTGCAAAGTCCTTGAGTAACTGACCAGAAATCCATGAAAATTGATTCCTCTGTAGACTGCCATCTTTGCTAACTCTAAATGGCCCAACTTCTCCAAATGCTCCCCCTCCAAGTGAAGAACAACCTGGCCCTGTTTGTTACATAATGTTTTCAGATGTTCAAGAAGAAATAAAATAAAATAAACATTTATGAGCATGTATTTTATTTCAAGGAGAAAGGTTCAAATTTATCCCTCTACTACATCAGTTAAGTCGGTGGATAAAGCATCCCGCGTTCATGCAAGGTTTAGGGAAGGGCAGCACCCTAAGGGGTAAGATGTAGACAGCCTACCCTAACACAAACATTAGTAGCTACTCCCATGGTTTGAACCCTTATCTATAAGTCACACAGAGACAACTTTACCATTGCTCCAAGACTCCCCTTCTTGCCCCTCTACTACATGAAATATCTTAATTCTCCAATGGTTATATTGTGTGGCCATTTATATTCTTGTTGTTAGCATTTAACAAATCGTCTGGCACTTGGCCTTGACTTTATCGGACCTCTAACATGAACTGAATGGATTTCACGTGTCAAAATATTTCAGAAAAAAGGTCTATATTTACCTCTCTACTTTTTAATATGGTTTAAGAAGTTACCCTTCGAGGTTGAAGCTCCATGTGATCAAGGACAAATACGAGACAGTTTGCTACAGGAAATGTATCATTAGTCCTAAAGTATAATGAGCGATAAATTAAGATATTTAGTATAGAGGGGTAATTTTTTGACCCTTTTCATATGTTTTTATAGAGTTCTTAAAACAAGTTTAGCTACAAGCATGTCATTTAACTTAAGCATGAACATGAAAATTGTATGTTCATGTTGTACAATTTGCCATTCAGAATTCTCTGAAAAACATGGTATAATACTTGATTGTGTAAATATATAACTCTGCAGATGTGAAAGAACTATTTGATCTCATTTCATCATTTGGAATAATGAAACATGTAAGAAAAAAATAGGAAGCTAACCTCCATTGAGCCATAAGACAAGGGGCTTAGAACCAGAATCTTGAGGCGACTCGACGAAATAATAAAACAAATTTCTTCCAGCAGTTGGATCAACTGTAACATACCCTGAGTACTGGTTAAAATCTACACCTTGAGGTTGACCAGGTAATTGTTCAATTTTGTCATTCTCTTTGAGTAAATTTTGAGGCCTAACATGCACTGGTGAAGTCCTACTAAGTTGTGGATAATAAGTAGTAGTAGTAGTAGTAGTATTTTCCAAGTCTTGCCTGAAATAATGACCATTTGGCTTTAGGCTTTTAGCTTCATAACTATGTACTAAAACTAAAGCTAACAAGCTTAGGAAAAAGAAGTGGAAAAATGATGTTTTAACCATTTTTTTTCTTGTGTGAAATGATAAGAAGTATGATTATGGATCTGTCCTAGCTATTTAAATGCCTAAGGTTTAAGTTTTGTGTTCGGCCAATATAGTTCATGATTTCGGCATAGTTTTGTTTTGTTCTTGTTTTTTGGAAATCTCTAAAGAAAATGTTGCCGAATTATATGTATATAGCTGATTGATGACACTTTGAAGCCCTTGTTTGATACTCTTATTTTTTTTATGCCACCTATCTTCCAATCAAGTTAGTTTACTTTGTTTGTCATGAAGTCTCTAAGTTAGTTGAATATTCCCCCCTAGGCATTTGGTGCAACGGACGGCAAGATTTTTTTAGTGCTCAGCTCTAACTGTCCAGTGATATTGTCTGTTTTGGATTTACATTTCATACGATTTGGAAGTAAGTCTAAAACTTACTTTCTTATATACTCATCGACTCTAACCGTCCAATTATATTGTCTGCTTTGGACTCCCATTCGGACGACGGTTTCAAAGTAGCGCCTAATTAAGGCCTAAAACTTGCTTTCATATATATGCATCGGCTCTACCTTCTGGTGATATTGTCTGATTTGGACTCACATTCCTGCAATTTGAAAGTAGTGCCTAATTAAGGCCTAAAACTTGCTTTCTTATATACTCATCGACTCTACTGTCTAGTGATATTATCTGGTTTGGACTCACATTCCCACAGTTTGAAAGAAGTGCCTAATTATGGCCTAAAATTTGTTTTCTTATATACTCATCGATTCTAACTATCTAGTAATATTATCTGCTTTGGACTCACATTCGCACGGTTTAAAAATGCCTAACTATAGCCTAAAACTTGCTTTCTTATATACTTATTATCTATTTCTTGTTTTGGCGATGTGGATTTTGCTGAAGGTGTTATATCAACTATCATTAAGCATTCCTAAATTTGCAAGGATATGGAGGACTTGGCCTTTTTAGAAATTTACTTGAAATGATTAGCATGAAAATTATTTCTAACTCATTAATACAAAGTTCAAGAGGTAAAAGTAAAAGACGAAAAGGAGGGATGATAACAAATTCTTAGAGCAAATAAGATGAAAGAGTACGGTCAAAAACAATTATTTAGTGAGCGTTTGGACATAAGAATTGTAAAATTTCAAGATAGGGGAAAAAAAATTTATATGAAAATGGTATTTGAAATTTAGAGTTGTGTTTGAACATGAATATAATTTTGCGTTGTTTTTGAAGTTTTGTGAGTGATTTGAGTAAAAATTTTGAAAAACAACTTTTTGGATTTTTTCAAATTTTTGAAAAGTTTCAAAATGCATTTTCAAGTGAAAATTGGAAATTTTATGAATAAACGCTGATTTCAATTTTTTTTTTATTTTCTTTTTTGGAAAAAAGGAAAAAAAATTCTTATGTCCAAACGGGCTCTTAGAATTGGCTACAAGCAAAAGATAATGATCGAGAGTCGGCTTTCTTTTGTCATTTTTTCTTTTTTAAAAGAAAAAGTATAGTTTAATTGTAATAATTTACAATTAAATGTGAACCAGCGAAGGGCCTACTTTGGGGGAATTAGAAATGGCGCAATTTACAATTAGTAATTAAGAAATAGCCAGAAATTTAAAAGTAATCAAAATTTAGTCACTTTAAAGATAAAATCTTAACAAAAATATTCTTAAAATTCGGAAAATTTTCAATATAATATGTTGGAGTTATGAGATTCTAGTATAACGTGCTGAAATTTCATAATGTTCTAGAGTTCCAACATAATATGTTGGAAGTTTATACGTAGGAGCTCTATAATCCAACATATCATGTTGGAACTTTTCATATTTTAACTAGGGTATTTTAATCTAGGTTTTATCTCCGCATAAAATAATGGCTATATTTTAATGACGTTGCAAACACTGGCTATTTTTGGTTACCCGTCCAAAAACTGGCTAGCCCGTGCTATTTTTACTAATTTGAGTGTGACAACACCCATTGGGCCGGCCCAACTACTTGACTGTTGGACTTTTAAATTATAGGCCATGGTTGTAAGCTCTCTTACCCAAATTTAATAATTAGTGACGTTCTGTCACTTGTTTCTGCTTGTGTAGGCTTGTGGTAGTTCTTCTGAATATTGAGAAATGCGAAAGATAAAGAAGAAAATGGAGTTCATTGGTTCACATTCTACATATTACTTTGAGAGTTGGTGTAATTTTTAGGGCATAAATCCAAAACCATAATGCAAAAAAGGGCTGATTTCACTTTCACAGGGACCATTCTTTTACGAAAGCTGGTGCGATCCAAAATCATTTGCACAAAGCATGCTAGCACCTATCAGAGTCGGAGCTAAGATTTTAGATTTATGGATTCTGAATTTTAAAACGATAACTTCAAGTACTAATGAATAATAACTTGGTTTTGAATGTAATGTTTATACATATTTCATGAATGTGTTAACAAAAATACATTGTTTAAGTAAAAGATATTGGGTTCAGTCAAACCCGTAGCTCGACTTCTACCTCCTCCTGTGGCACCTACTCATTCATATAGCTAAAGAGCTCTTATTCTTCTAGCTAGGTCCATCTTGTTGTCTCATTTCTTTCTTTTTTTCCTATAAAACATTGAGTAGATCCCTTTACTTGGAGTCATTGGCTTGAGTTATACGAAAGGCTCCTTGGTTATATATTGACAGTGTAAAAAAAGTTCTATAATTATTGTAGTTTAACCGGTGATAGTATCTTATGTTACTTTTCCTAAGGTATCAATTAATGTGTAATATAAATATTTCTCTATAATTATATTTAATTAACATAATTATATGAGTATTATTTTGGTCATTATTGCATTCAACTTAAACTCCATGAGAAAAAGAAAATTTACACCATACTTCGTAATTTTCTCACATATGCTAAGTAATAAAAAAGCACATGTATGAAGATGGATCCCCTCGTGATTTCTTTTGAGTACAGTCGCTATAATTAGGCATGGATCCCCACTATCCTTTTGTTACCTTTCTACTTTATATTTTATTTATATTTTTTTCCTTTTTTTTTTACCTGTTTTTTTTTTCAATTAGACCACTAAAACAAGTATTTAAGAATTTGATCAACATCTAATCTTAATACTACACTTAAACATCCCCTATAATTTTTTTTCTACAACAATCTTCTTTTATTTTTTTTTTACTTTTTTCATTGGCAGTAAAATGCAATCGTTCAAATTCATGAACTGAAAATATAAAGGAAGATTCTAAAATTAAGGTGCCAGAAGAAGTCAATTCGTACACAAATGTGGTCTCCCAAAAGTTATTTACAAACATTTCTAGTTCTGCAAGATGTGGAAATGTCACCCATAAATCAAATCAATTTCCTCTCATCTGACTTTGGAGTTCACTTCCCTCTTTTCAGAAAGGTAAATTGGAGTATATATTTCTTTCCACCATTTGATTTATTTTACTTTATAACAATAATGTTCAAGCTAACTTATGTGCATCACAATTAATTTATTGAGTTCCATCAATATAAATATTAAGTAACTCTGTTCATTAAGGTTTAAATTAATGGACAAAAATTACCTAGTTTTTTGTTTTGTCTTTCTTAGAATTGAATCTCTGATGTCATGAATTTTTATCCATTTCACTAAGAGAATAACCATGGACAACATTTAATAATTTTAATTTTTTATTATGGTTGTATTGTGAAGGGCTGGAGTACATATCTGACTTGTTGCACAATAGTGCTCTAAAAGCACAATGATAGTGATTCACGTGTTTCAATTTGTCATTGCATTATTCTTGAATGTTGAGACTTCATTTTCCTTATCAGAAAACTATGATTATGTCTAAAAACTCTTCATTGGATGAGTCTTAGATTCCTTAAAAGATTTAGAATGTTTTTATCAATACAAGATTTATGACACTATTTAGGGAGCCTTAGAACAAGAAAGTTATTTTTCTGTGGAGTCAGCCACTGATATTTGTATCAGGTTAGACTGCCAACGTTATACCCCTTGGGGTTCAACCCTTCCCTTATTATATATTTCGTGCATCGGAGTTATCCTTTTTGATTTATGACATTATTACGAAGATTATTATTTAGGGGTGGGTATCTTATATAATAAGACAGCTAAGATTTAATCAAACTAAAGCTACAAGTTCCCAAGTAGGATAAAAAGTGGCTTTTGATTGTACCACATAAATGGAAAAGGGTTTAGTTTTTTAGCATGTGGTTGCTATTTGCCCTTTTATGATGACAGCACCAATGCAATGTCACTGTTTCTATTTTTATGTTTTTCAATTCTCTTTCTATTTTCTGGCTTCTTGCTACTTTAATTAAAGTTAAGATTAGAACACACAAAGGGGACCTCCAAATATAGTGAGGACCACACTAACAAATTAGTACAACTTATTTTGACTTTTATCCAAGTGAGTATGGTCACTTTTTTCTACTTTTCCTTTCCTCCCCTTTTAGCTTAAATTTGATAATGTTTTCTCCTACATAATTGCTTATTAGGCTTCAGTACTATTTCAAAACTATAAGTTGGCCTCAATGGAGTTTCGGCGGTAGATTTAATCGACGTCAATTCACATGTAGATGTTAATGAAAATTTGGCTGTCGATCCCGAAAGCACCATCCGCTGGGATGCCTGATCAGCTACTCAGAGTACACGTGGCAGTGAAGATGACGGAATCAGCCTGCGAGTGATTTTAGAAATGCAGGCTCAACAGGCAGCAACTGCCTAGCTCCAAAACCAGAACCACACACCAAGCAGGGTCGAACACGAGCCATCCCAGAAAATCGTACGCAGGGTCGAATTCGTTTCAAGAAAATCGAACGAGAAGGAATCGGAGACCAATCCTGCTATCATGAAGATGCTCGAAAAACTGACAAAGCGAATCGAGACAGGGGAAAAACGATTGAGGAAAACAACAAGAAGGTGGAAACCTATAACTCCAGGGTTGACCAAATTCGGGGGGCACCACTAATATTGAAAGGACTGGATTCCAAAAAGATCGTACAAAAACCTTTCCCCCGAGTGCGGCTCCGAAGCCAATCCCCAAGAAATTCTGCATGCCCGAGATTCCTAAGTATAATAGGACCACTGATCCAAACGAACATGTCACCTCCTACACGTGTGCTATCAAAGGGAATGACTTAGAAGATGACGAGATCGAATCCGTCTTGCTGAAGAAATTCGGGAGACTCTATCGAAGGATGCTATGATATGGTACCATAATTTATCACCTAATTCTATTGACTCGTTTGCTATGCTTGCATATTCTTTCGTAAAGGCACATGTCGGGGCCATCAAGGTCGAAACCAGGAAGTCGGACCTTTTCAAGGTAAGGCAGAAGGACAACGAGATGCTTAGAGAATTCGTGTCTCGA